CACTTCCATTTTACAGATGAGGTAAGAGAGGCACAGAGAGGCATTCTGCCTCAGGGCACAGTCAGGAGAAGAACTAGGCCTTCACTTCACATGGAGTGATCTTTCTGCCTTTGCAAAGGCAGAACTGCTCCCAAGGCTATGTGACCCTATCCCCCTACACTGACAATGTGGAGTAGTAGCAACCATTCAGACTTGCAGACCTGGCAGACCTGAGTTCCAATCCTAATTCATCGTGACCTTGGGCAGAATTTTAAAACCTTGCGGAGCCTCCATTTCTTCAGCTTTAAATTAAAAATCGTAACATCCACTTGATGGTGCTATGGTGAAGGTCAAATTTAATGAGGTGACATATGCAAAGCATCCAACGTGGCTCTACCCCAGACAGACAGCAGGAGCTTCATGAAAAAACTGTACTAAGGATTAACTGTACTAAGGCTTTATTTTAAAGTCAGGCCCCAGATAGACAGGTGCATGGCTCAGGGCTGCTTCACTTTGGGGTGGCTTCATTTTAAGGCTGGGCCCCGGATAGGGGGGCACAGAGCAGTTAGAAACAGCTAAGGGAGACGAATTTGTCTGTCGGTTTGTCATCCTGTGGTGCCTTACATGTTGCTGTGAGGCTGGAGGCTATGCCAGCAATGTTTCAAAATGCCAGCATGGTTACCCATGGTGGACGGGTTACAGGAGAACATCTGTACTAACACAGATTTGGAAGAAGGAAGAGGCTATCAACTTCTCAATGAACTGGCCAGTGAAAACCTTATGAATAGCAGTGAAACACTGTCTGATATATTGCCGGAAAACTTCATGAATAGCCCTGAAACATCATCTGATATAGTGCCAGAAGATGAGCCCATTAGGTTGGAAAGCATTCAAAATATGACGAGCTGACTCCTCAGAGTAGAGATGACCATAATGATGTGGATGGAGTAAAGTTCTTGGGACCTTCATTTGCCGATATGGCATGACTCAGAATGAGTAGGAACAGATGCAAACATCCATTAATTGGAATATGGAATGTAAGAAGTATGAATCTAGGAAAATTGGAAGTTGTCAAAAATGAAATGGAAGGCATTAGTAAGCTGAAATGGACTAGTTTTGGCCATTTTGAATCACACAACCATATGATCTACTATGCTGGGAAAGACAAATTGAAGAGGAATGGTGTGGCATTCATTGTCACAAAGACTGTTTCAAGATCTGTCCTGAAGGACAATGCTGTCAGTGATAGGATAATATCCATATGCCTACAAAAAAGACCAGTGAATACTACTACTATTCAAATCTATGCACCAAACACCAAAGCCAAAGATGAGGAAATTAAAGATTTCTACCAACTTTTGCAGTTGGAAATTGACCAAACATGCAATCAAGATGTGTTGATTGTCACTGGTGACTGGAATACAGAAGCTGGAAACAAAGAAGAGCTACTGGTAGTTGGAAAATATGGTCTTGGTGATAGAAATAACACTGGAGATCGCATGACAGAATTGTGCAAGACCAATGACTTATTCACTGAAAACACCTTTTTTCAACAACATAAACCATGGCTATACACATGGACTTCACCAGATGGAAAACACAGGAATGAGACTGACTGCATCTGCAGCAAGAAGTGACGGAGAAATTCAGTATCTTCAGCCAAAACAAGGCCAAGAGATGACTGTGGAACAGACCATCAACTGCTCACATGCTAGTTCAACTTGAAGCTGAAGACAATTAAAACAAGTCCATGAGAGCCAAAATATGACCTTGATGATATCCCTCCTGAATTTAGAGACCATCTACAGAATACATTTGATACACTGAACACCAATGACTGAAAACCAGAGGAATTGTGGGATGCCATCAAGAGTAATATCCACGAAGCAAGAAGTTGTTAAAAAGACAAGAAAGGAGAAAAGACTAAAATGGACGTCAGAAAAGACTTGGAAACTTGCCCTTGAGCCAAGAGTAGCTAAAGCAAATGGAAGAAATGACAAGATAAAAGAGCTGAACAGAAGACTTCAAAGAGCAGCTCAGGAAGACAAAGTCAATTATTATAATGAAGTATGCAAAGACCTGGAGTTAGAAAATGAAAAGGGAAGTACACGCTCAGCATTTCTCAAGCATAAAGAACTGAGGAAAAAATTTAAGCTCTCAATATTTTTCAATACTGAAAGATTCTATGGGCAATATATTAAATAATGCAGGAAACACCAAAAGAAGATGGAAGGAATACACAGTCATACCAAAAAGAATTGGGTCAATGTTCATCCATTTCAGACGTGGCATATGATCAAGAATCAATGGTAGTGATGGAAGAAGCTGAAGCTGAACTGAAGGGACTGGCAAAGAACAAGGCTCCAGGAACTGATGGAACACCCATTGAGATGTTTCAACAGATGCTATGCTGGAGGCACTCACTCGGCTATGCTCAGAGATTTGGAAGACAGCTACCTGGCCAACTGACTGGAAGAGAGCCATATTTGTATCCATTCCAAAGAAAGGTGGTCCCACAGAATGTGGAAATTATCAAACACTATCATTAATATCACATGCAAGTAAAATCTTACTGAAAATAATTCAAAAACAGTTGCAGCAGTATATTGACAGAGAACTTTCAGAAATGCAAGCTGGATTCAGAAGAGGATGTGGAACGAGAAATATCATTGCTGATGTCAGATGGATCTTAGCTGAAAGCAAACAATAACAGAAGGATGTTTACTTGTGTTTTATTGACTATGCAAAAGCATTTGATTGTGTGGATCATAACAAATTATGGGTAACATTGAGAAGAATGGGAACTCCAGACACTTGATTGTGCTCATGAGAAGCCTGTACCTGGATCAGGATCAGGAAGCAAGCAGAACAAGGGAACACTGCATGGTTCAAAATCAAGAAGGGAGTGCGTCAAGGCTGTATCCTTTCACCATACTTACTCAATCTGTATGCTGAGCAAATAAACCAAGAATCTGGATTATATGAAGAAGAATGTGGCATCAGGATTGGAGGAAGGCTCATTAACAACCTGTGATACACAGATGACACAACTTTGCTTGCTGAAAGTGAGGACGATTTGAAGCACTTACTGATGAAGATTAAAGACTACAGTCTGCAGAATGGATTACCTCTCAATATAAGGAAAACAAAAGTCCTCAAAACTGGTCCAATAAACAGCTGCACAATGGAAGCAGAAAAGATCGAAGTTGCGAAGGACTCTGTATTAGTTGGTTCTACAATCAACACCCACGGAAGCAGCAGTCAAGACATCAGACAATCTATTACATTGCGCAAATCTGCTACAAAAGACCTCTTTCAAGTGATGATGAGCAAAGCTATCTCCTTGAAGACTAAGGCATACTTAACCCAAGCCATGGTCTTTTCAATTGCCTCTTTTGCATATGAGAGCTGGATAATGAATAAGGAAGACTGATGAAGAGTTGATGCTTTTGAGGTGTGGTGTTGGTGAAGAATACTGAGAATACCATGGACCGCTAAAAAGAATGAACAAATCTGTCCTGGCTGAAGTACAGCTGGGGTGCTCCGTGGAAGTGAGAATGGCAACACTTCATCTCATCTACTTTGTCATGCTGTCAGAGGGAACCATTCCCTGGAGAAGGATATCATGCTTGGTAAAGTGGTGGGTCAATGAAAATGGGGAAGGCTCTCAACAAAATGGATTGACACAGTGGCTGCAATGATGGGCTCAGGGATAGCAAGGATTGTGAGGCTGGCACAGGAACAGGCAGTGTTTCATTTTGCTGTGCACAGGGTCGTTACGAGTCAGAGACGACTCAACGGCACTTAACAACAAGGATTATGCCATCTTCTGTTTTTCCCTCTAACACAGTCCTTCTCCCGAGACCTGGGAAGTGAGGGCTATACCATTGACTGTTTCCTATCTCTCTTCCCAATGAACCTGAAAAGATGGACAACAGTCAGAACCATCAGAGCCTTCAAAAGAGACTGATTCTTCTCATTTGGGATGAAGACCTGGTCTAGAGGTATGGTGGGAACAATGAGTCAACACTTGTTCACTATGCTAGGATGCTGCATGCTTCTAGTACATTTCACATCTATAAGTCACTTGTTGAACTGTGAATGGTCTATTCCTTGTCTATAACTTTAAGCTTTTAGGGAATGTTGGGATTCATTAGCAGAAATGAACAAGAGTTGGAAATATCAGAAGTAAACTTAATTGTAAAGAGCTTGATGAAGGATGTATGTTTGTGCATGGTTTTATGAGCATTTAACCTGAGATCCATAGAAGAAGAGGACTATGAATAAAACTTTGTAATCCTCTATACCTTTATTTTAGGTATTTAAAAATCAGTGTTTTGGTAAGAAGGGTCCCTGGGTGGTACAAATGGGTAACATGCTCGGGTGCTAACCAAAAGGCTGGAGGTTCAAGCAAGAGGCATCTGAGAAGAAAGGTCTAACAGTCTACTTCTGACAAACAAGCCACTGGAAACCCTACGGAGCACGTTCTACCCTAACACACGAGGGGTTGCCTTGTGTCTGAGCTGACTTGACGGCAACTGGTTTGTTTTTGGTAATCTGATAAGGGGTCTATAGGCTTCACCAGGTAACCAAACGGGTCCACAATACAGTGGAAATTCAGAACTCCTTTATGTAGGACCCAAGAGAGCTTAAAGTAAACCTGAAGCCGCCACTCACTAGAAGCATCCCTGCACTGAAGGTCTGACTGGCCCTGGAAAGCAGCTACTGCCAGGATCAAAGAGCTTGGAAGATAAAAGTGCTGCTGTTCTCAGCAACACAGGCAGGAGAAACCCAAGTGGATGGAGATTTGGGGTGACTATTTCCAGCCTCAACACTGTGTCTAGCACAGCTGAGCAAAAGTATGCTGGGGGAGCTATGACCAAACAGATAAAAATAAGGGAAGGAGATGGACTGACAGGGCCTCTGCTTTTGGATTCCAGGTGGGCCCTCACAAAAGGCTCTGTCCATTAGAAATGCTTCCTTAATGAGAAGACTGTGGTCTTGTGGCGCTCACTCGTTACCTTCTCGTAATACTGGATGTTCCTGTCGGCCATTCCCATGAGCAGCTGGCGGAAGTCCTGCCTCTTGTTGTTCTGCCACCTCTCCATGTCAGCTTTCAGATCAGCGTTGAAACACTCCATCCGATCCTGACATTTCTCAACGTCTGCTGGCACCTGGAAGGGGGAGGCATACGTGTGTGCCCTGCATGTGCACCTGGTGTCTCATGCCTTGAGCTCCTCTGTTCACACATCTGTCAAAGGTCAAAGTACTAGATGGAAATGCCATCTACATGTTTCCTCCTCTGGAGGCATTTATTTGAAGGCAGAACCTTGCATTTTCAGGTCTAAGAAGGTGTTCTTCTGAAAGGTGCCCTGCTGGCTCAAATACTCAGATTTATCTAGTTTATCAGATTTAAATTGATCTAAGCACAACAGAAACTCCTGGAAGAAACACTTTGGTTTACAAGCAGAAGAAGAAACAATGCAATTCAAAGAGCCATATGCCTTTTAGGACATACATCTGTACACTTACTCAAAACTCACTGCTGTTGAGTCAGATCCAACTCATAGTGACCCCTCCTTTGGTTTCCCAGGTGGTATCACTATGGCAGTAGATTGGCCAATCTGCCTTCTGAGGAGTGGCTGGTAGGTTTGAACCACCAGCCTCCTTGTTAGCAGTCAAAAGTCTTAGGCACTACGCAAATATATAGTAGAATTCAATATAGGCCTACCACTGTCCTGTGTCCCATGTTAGAACCTAAATAGATTTTCCTATTCCATGTGGAAATGTGAACTACTCCATTACTTGTGAAGTTTGATAATGGCTATCCTCATTAATCAGGTGCCTCGGGTGGTGTAGTGGTTAAGGCATTTGGCTGCTTACCAGAAGGTTGGTGGTTTGAACCCACCAGCTGCTCCACAGAAAAAGGATGAGGCAGTCTGCTTCCATAAAGATTTATAGCCTTGGAAACCCAATGGAGGTCACTATGAATCAGAATTGACTCAATGGCAGTGGATTTTTTTTTTTTTTTTTGGTTTTACCCTCATTATTCAGAAAATTAACTGCAATAATAAAACCACTGGCCAGCTTCTTCCTCTGAACTCTATGTAACAAATGACCTGGAGATTTGTCTAAGTACCCGCAGATAGCATATAATAAAAAATGAAGACTTAGATAAGTTAGATAATGACAATTACTATTTATGCATGTCAAAAAGAATCTGAAAAACAAAGGAAAAAAGTACAGCAGCCTTTAAATTTTTTGGACAGAGATTTAGAAGAATTTCTCAAAATGGAGTTATCACTTGGATTTCACAACTTCCCACTTGCTTGGTGAGTTTCAGCCATCACAGACAGAGACACCCTCATGGTTAGGCAGGTTCCCAAAGCCGGCTTCTCTCCTAACACACGTTCTACTGGCTCTGCTGGTGGCCAAGGGGTCAGCATGCCCAAAGGTGGGTCAAGTGCCCACTTGCCAAATGCTGCCCACCAACAAATGAGGCCTGTGTTTGTGTGCTGGAATCTATGACATCAAGCGTCTCCAAGCTATGAGTCAACCTCTATCAACTGGGGAAGTTTCGTACCCAATCCTTACAGGTAAGGAGCCAATCCAGAGGCTCCAATGATGGTGAGGCCAGGCCTAAGGGAGCCAGACACCTTCAGGGCTTCCAAAAGTGCTCCGGGCACTTTACCATCTACCATGAGGAACACTCAGAGATATCTGCAGAGGACAGGAGCGAGGACAGTGAAGCAGTGTAGGCAATGGGATTCAGGTGAGCCTGGCATGGGAGTCAAGGACGAGTTAGAAAAATATAATTAGTGAGAGGAAGATGTAACTAGGTACCCTGGGCAACATTTAAAAACCAAACAAAAACAAAAAGCACCTTTTTAAAAAAAAAAAAAAAAAGAGGGGAAAAGAAGTCTTCTTCAAATCACTATGCTTCCGGGAGAGAGAAAAAGAGTGACTTCTTCCTTTGACACCAAACCAAAATCATTTTTTCCTTCCTCTGCTGATTCACCAGTTACTATTTGCTACTTCAGGGAAAACAAAAACAAAAGCAAGAGTGCCCTGTCCCTCTAGAATCATTCTCCCACAAGTGCCCAATCAATCAGCCTCAATAGGGCCCAGTGAGCCTCAGAATCTCTGAAAGTACAGCCCAGGCCCCTTATTTCCTCCTGGCCAGTGTTCATTTTAGTCTCTGGATGGAAGGTGCTAGCACCAACTTCCTGTTTATTTAACTACCGTCACATGGAGGAAGAGTGGAGCTCTGATGAGAGAACCACGCATGATGAGAAGAGGGAGGCCGTGGTCTCTCATTCAAAGGGGGAGGAGAGGGTCCTTAATGATCTAGGAAGGATTCCTGGGTTCTGCTGTGGGATGGGGAAATCTGGTGGACCCACAAAAATTAAGACTCAAAAACTATAGCTCTGGATTTCATTTGCTTGAGCCTTAATCTGGGAAATACTTATCATTTTCATGACACATTCCGTGGTTGGCCCTGAGAAATACAAAAGTGCTTACATCTTAATAGGCAAACCCTAGAGATTGCAGAAGTGTACAGCTTAGTTTGGGGGAGAAAAATGAATACACCCAGACATACGGTGGATGTTACAACTGCTTTCAGTTTGCTCTGAGAGCTCGTGAGAAGAGCATAAGGAGGACAGGCTGGAGGATGCGTGCAGCTTGGGTGAATGATCAGGCTTCCTTGAGGAAATAGTAGACAAATGACTCTTTGAAGAAGACAGAGGTGGGATAAACAGCGATGAAGAAAAGGGCACTCTAGGGCAACAGTACCTACAGGTGACACAGGTGAGAAAATGCCTCAACCTGCTTGGGAATAGCTCCCAAGGTCACAGGGCATACAAGGGCAGGTGGAGAACATTCCAGCTGGTGAGATGGGCATGAGGGTGTGGAGGGACAGGGGGCAAGGGATTTCTGAGGCCCATTAAACCCATGCCCCTCTTGGAAAATACAAAAGCCCCATGCCTCCTCTAGCTGTAGCCCAGAGTTCTAGAGTCAGACTTCTCAAATTAGAATACCATGTCCACCACTTACTAGATTTGTGACTTTGGGCTTCTCTATGCCTCAGCTTCCTTTTCTGGAGTATAATACAAATCTACCTTATAAGGTGGTTATAGGGTTAAACGAGGCAATACCCATAAAGCACTCGGTGCCTAGCATATATAAGGGGCTCAATAAATGTTAGTTCACATCAGTATAGAAACCAAATATTCAGAAAAGATAATCATTTGCATAGCTCAAGTCAAGAATATTTTATTGAGTATAACTCCCTACGGGAGCTCTGGTAGCATAGTGGCTAAGACACTTGCCTGCTAACCAGATGGCTGGCGGTTCAAACCCACCAGCCACTCCTCGGAAGGAAGGTTGGGCAATCCTACTTCTGTAGTGATACTGCCTCGGAAACCCAAGGAGGGGTCACTATGAGTCGGGTTTGACTCGACGGCACATAACAACAACATCAACATAACTCCCTACATTGTAAAACAAATTTCTTTTTTGTTTTCTAAATATATTTTCATATTATTAATTAGATGTGTTTTTAAACTTCATCCCACCCTTCACCCACTCTACCCCACCCTGGTATTTCACCATAGACCAGAGATGACTCAACACTAAACTATACTGTAATGAGACTGGCCTGGGCACCCTGGAACCAGCGTGGTAGCTATGACACCAGGAGGGAGTAGACAGATTAACCCAACCTAGTGGAGACAAAATCGGCAGGTTTGCAAACCAAATGCATGTGGGAAATAAGCTATAGGGAGTCAGAGAAAGAGCCTGAAGTTTCTAGCTTGGATGACAAGGTTAGCAGTGCCACTGTGGGGCTCAAGATACACAACAGGTCTATAGACACTGACCTGGGCATCAGCCAGATAAAGGGCAAAGCCACAGCCACAGGGTGAGCAGGCTGGGAGGGGCTGAGGCTAGAACTCATGGAAAGACTTCACTTACAGGATTAATAAAGGAGCCAGGAAAGGTCACTAGGGAAGGTGGCACAGAAGTAGGATGAGAATTTGAGAGAGCACAGCCAGAGATGCCCAGGGATGAGAGGGTTAGACAGAGGAGGAGGGCAGGGATTGAAAACAATGGAGTAGGAAGTGGAATAAGTTAGAATTCACCAGCTTATGAAATTGCCCAACTTTATGAAGTTGGGGCAATTTGCCAGGGTGCTATGGGCAGCAGACACTCAAACTAAGTTCCTCTCTCCAGTTTCGTTTTGGACAGGGTGTTTGTGGCAATCGATTCACTGAGCAGTTACACCCAGCACTCCTTCTGATCTGATGTTCTGCTTTATGTGACTAAGAGATTGTCAGACTTAACTGTTACCTTGTGTCTGAAGGATGTTGTGAGGGCAATATCCCATGTTTATGTGTGAATGCTGCTTGTCACAAGACACCAAGAAGGGGGAAGGGGGAAGAACATGTAATACCTGAAAACAAGAAAGCTTCTACATGGAGGACAAAACTACATTTTCCACATTGGTTCCTCCACTGCCAAGGAGAATTTCTGTTACAGGATACAAGCTGTTGGACTGCTGGGAGAAGGGTATTGTGGGACAGGACTGTGCATTTTTGTGTGCTAGGATTGGGATGAATCTAAACTCACTCCACATTCACTTAAAAATGTATTACTGAGCTCTATCCATGTGCCAGGTATTCTAGGCCCTAGAACATAAATCTCTCCTGACCTTTTCTTCTTGGAGCTAGGCTAGACATGTGACATTACCTGCTCCCATGATAATTCCATGATAACCACTGCCATCAAGTTGACTCCAACTCACAGCGACCTCTATTGGGTTTCTAAGGTGATACATCTTTACACAAGTAGACTGTCCCATCTTCCTTCTGCAGAGCAGCTGGTGGGTTTGAACCACCAATCTTCTGGTTAGCCGTCAAATGCCATAGACACTGTGCCACCAGAGGTCCTTAATTCCATGACAGTAGGAATTAATAAAATTTCCAATGAGTACACAAAGCAGATATGGTCCCAAAACTTGGGGGAGGGAGGGTCATGACTGCTGTGTGACAAATTTCAGGGCCAATGACAGAACCTCTTCAAGATGGTGATCCTCTTGGCCAAATGCCGTGAGCAAACGGGGTAAAACATCCTCACTGGTGAGGTGTAAACGTCAGTGATATTAATCCCATAGCCT